GAGGCTTAGCCACGCCCACACCTTTATACTTATTTAAAATCCGACGGTTGAATTTTTTCCCCTTTGACTTAAAAGTACATAGCATAAGTTTGAAGGTGATCGGTGTAAAGGGCAACGGGCCATCAATGTCCAAACAACGTGTGCGAAAACCACTAAATCGAGTACTTGGACCAAAATGGCCGACCTCCTGTGCGAAATTGCGCTTGGCTCCAAGAGACTTTTTTGTAGGGCCAGAGACCCTACATGAGTGTACCAATTTTCGTAATCCTCAGTCAAACCTTGTCTTGGGGCTGACAGTTTTAATGGTCCTAGGGGGCGCTATTTCAGAATATAGGCCACGCCCACAAATCTCAGATGCCCATTTCTATTGGGGGTTAGACTAGGATCACTCACCAGACATTTTGTGGCGATGTCACGATAATTGAAGAAATGAGAGGCAAACGTATTGCCATGACGTGATGGCGAATTTCGCCATGCTCCCAAAGCCTCGCCTTTTTTCAAAACCTGCCAGTACTGTAGACCAAGTGACCTCAACTTGTCAGCTGCTATTTACCAGAGATTCCAGGTGATTGGGTAAAAGGAGTCCAATAGGGAGCTGTGAAAAAAAGAGTGGCGTGGCGAAAGGTCAAAGTTTGAGGCTTAGCCACACCCACACCTTTATACTTATTTAAAATCCGACGGATGAATTTTTTCCTCTATGTCTTAAGAGTATATAGCAGAAGCTCGAAGGCGATTGGTGAAAAGGGCGACGGAGCATCACTCTCCAAACAACGTGTGTGAAAACCACTAAATCGCGCACTTGGACCAAAATGGCCGACTTCCTGTGCGACTTTGCACTTGGCTCCAAGAGACTTTTTTGTAGGTCCTGAGACACCACATTAGTGTACCAAATTTCGTAATCCTCAGTCAAAGCATGGCTTGGGGCTGACAGTTTTAATGGTCCTAGGGGGCGCTAATACAGAAAATAGGCCACGCCCACAAACTTAAGCTGACCTTTTCTATTGGGGGTCAGACTAGGATCACTCACAACAATGGTCGAGGTGATATCACGATAAATGAAGAAATGAGAGGCAAACGTATTTCCATGGCGTGATGGCGAATTTCGCCATGCTCCCAAAGCCCCGCCTTTTTTCAAAACCTTCCAGTACTGGAGACCAAGTGACCTCAACTTGCCTGCTGCTATTTACCAGAGATTCCTGGTGATTGGGTAAAAGGAGTCCAATAAGGAGCTGTGAAAAAAAGAGTGGCGTGGCGAAAGGTCAAAGTTTGAGGCTTAGCCACGCCCACACCTTTATACTTATTTAAAATCCGACGGTTGAATTTTTTCCTCTATGTCTTAAGACTATATAGCAGAAGTTTGAAAGTGATTGGTGAAAAGGGCGACGGAGTATCACTCTCCAAACAACGTGTGTGAAAACCACTAAATCGCGCACTTGGACCAAAATGGCCGACTTCCTGTGCGACTTTGCACTTGGCTCCAAGAGACTTTTTTGTAGGTCCTGAGACACCACATTAATGTACCAAATTTCGTAATCCTCAGTCAAAGCATGGCTTGGGGCTGACAGTTTTAATGGTCCTAGGGGGCGCTATTTCAGAAAATAGGCCACGCCCACCAGATGTTCACACCAGATCTTTTGGGGGGCCGGACTAGGATCACTCACAAGAAGTTTCGTGACGATATCTTTGGAAATGACGAAATGGGAGGCAAACGTAAGGCCACGGCGGTATGCCTGAATTCGCCGCGCCGCCGCAGCCCCGCCCTCTGCCGAAAACTCCCATAAAGTGACGCCAAGCAACCCCCACTTGTCTTGAGTTACCAGCTACAAATTTGTGGTGATTAAGTGAAATGGGGCAATTTGGGACCTTTCACAGTAAAACTTGATCTTTTTGGTCCTGAGGGGGCGGGGCTTGTGTGATGTCATCATCCGACCATTCAATTTACTTTGTGGGTGGATGACGAATGACCACAGAAAGTTTGGTAACTCTATTCCATTCAGTTATGAAGTTATAGCAATTTAAATATTTTTGGCGAGTAGTCAAACTTCGAGGCCTGGCCCCGCCCCTTCAACATATACGAAAACTCAGAATTCTCATCTCACTTTGTTCGCCCATCCCTTCTTAGCAATTTTACACAATTTTTGAGACGATCGTGCGAAAAATGATTGAGCAATCCAATCAGAAACGGACCGTAAAAACGGCAAAAACGGCAAAAAATCGCCATTTCAACCCAAAATGGCCGACTTCCTGTTTGATATTGACCATGCTTGCAAGAGACTTTTCTGTGCGGACTATTGAGTACTACAAGTGTACCAAATTTCATAACTGTACGATAAACTAAGCTTTATGGAGAGGTTTTTTTTTCACTTTCTAGGGGGCGCTGTTCAGTCATTTTCTGTGCGATTTTTTTGGGACCTTTAAAATATCAAATTTTTCACCAGGCCTGACAAGTTTGCAAAATATTGTGAGTTTTGGGGTATGCTAAGGTCCCCAAAAAGCCGTTCAAAGGGGCACGAGAATAACAAAAAATAATAATAAAGAAAAATAATAAACAGAGCAAAAACAAGAGGCCTTCGCAGCGCTTTCGCTGCTCGGGCCTAATAAACAGAGCAAAAACAAGAGGCCTTCGCAGCGCTTTCGCTGCTCGGGCCTAATAAACAGAGCAAAAACAAGAGGCCTTCGCAGCGCTTTCGCTGCTCGGGCCTAATAATAATCAGAGCAAAAACAAGAGGCCTTCGCAGCGCTTTCGCTGCTCGGGCCTAATAATAATCAGAGCAAAAACAAGAGGCCTTCGCAGCGCTTTCGCTGCTCGGGCCTAAATAACAATCCTCCGGTTAAGTTTCTAGGCATGATAATAAAGACCCAGTACATTACACTTCAGAACAAAGCCAATCATTCTTGATGGAACGGTTATCTTTAAGTGATATTTCAGACCTTTTGTTATGGTTTCTGTGGAAAGGCGTGATTGATAAGCTAACCACTAGATCAAGCAAAACTACAACCCAAGTTTCTTTTATTTTAAAATGACTCAAATCTCCCAATAGCAGGTTCACCGAGAAATTTTTTTAAATCATTATTTTTAAAATAACTCACTCTGAGAAAAGTCTTCTACCCCTATTTCCTAAATTAGCTTCTGATAGAAAATAGCTGGAAAAACACTCGGTTCAGAAAGGCCTGACACATCTTCGTCACACTGTCACTTAACAGCCATGGACTCACCCATCTTGGCTTGCGACTGGGAAGGCTGATGCTGGTTTAGTGCACAGAAAAGAGCAGAGAACGTCTAGACTGGTAGAAGCTAACCGTAGCATTAGCAACTCCACAACGCAGCAGAGCTCCTTACAATCAATATTTGGCGAGATGTCCAAATATCAGGAAATAAGACTCCAAATCCTGTTTTTCTCCTCCATCTGACTTCTATGAAGAGAATGACTTACAAGGCATTGATTCCTACTAGAGACCACTGCAAATGTGTAAAAAATAAATAAAGTGTACCATTAATAGAAGTTTATGTCAACATAAAAAAACTCACTTAAGCTTTATATGGTTTTGGACCTGAGTAGCATGGCAGTGCAGTTGCCTTACAGCAAAAGGTTGTAGGTTTGAATCCCAGCTGTGGCCTTTTTGTGCAGAGTTAGCATGTGTCCTTGGGTTTTTTCTGGGTACTCTGGCGTCCTCACATGCCTGTTGTAGAATTTATGGGAGTTATTTTGTTATAAGTTGTTAAATGTTACCTGTGGGGGGTTCGTTGCGTAGTCCTGATTTGCAACAGAGGCTCTAATTCCATTTGGCAAAACATTTCATTACGCTTCCCTAAGAACTCTGTTTTTGTTGGAAGCTGCCATCTTCAGATGTTTTGTTATCCAATGTAATCAGTTACCGATGAAAATATGTAAAAGCACAAGCAATGGTCTAGGCAGCAGTAGCTAGCTGTAGCACTCCTCGTGCAGCCTGGGGAATTCCTGCAGGAAGGGGCCTGTTTCCATTAGACGAGTTCCCGAACAGCTCTGGAGGGGGAAGTGACAGGAAAATATCTTTCTTCGGTGAGTGACGTCACTGATCAGCACTAACCGCAGCAGATCATGAGATTGGATGGAAGAAGCCGGGGTATTATTGTTTTCCTTCTGATCTTTGCTCGCAACACTTTCAATTCTACAAACACCGATTGTTTTGAGATATTTGCCAACACCATTTCTCACTGAGTTACAGCCAATCAGCTTGAGTTAGCCACAAGTCGTGCCCAGCAACTCAACCGGCCATTTTTGAATACGTAACCCAGTGAAGGTACTTTGTTGGTCCCTGAAATGGCCTTTTGAGCCAGGAAATGGTAATATAGAGACGCACGCATACCATGAAGGTAAAATTACCCAGAATTCCCATTAGTGAAAACGGGCTTAATATCACTGTAGCTCTTACGGAATAACTCTGTAATGAAAAGTGGATGAAAATGGATGGATGGATGGATGGATGGATGAAAAACGGAGTTTGGTGATGAGGCTAGCCCTCAAATGAACAGCGGGAAACTTCTTAAGAGATCAGAGAATCCACTTTGTCTTGGCCTCACTCGGACTAGTCATTAGCTTGTCAATCCTTGTCAGAATTAAAATCTACTTTCCCAAACTGAGGATGTTCAAAGAGCTATCTACAGCAGGTAAGACATTAATTATTTATACTCTCCAAAGAACTCCACTTCAAAAGATCTGAGCTATCACTTTAAATAATGGAGCTTCCATGCAATCTCTGCTCGAAACCCAGCAAATACATGGGTGCACACTTCACTTTCCCACACACTCATGTAACATCTTCTATTTCACACCAACTGAATGAAGGAAGCTCATTTTCAGCTTCGGGGATGTCTGAGGGTAGGCGAAGGTGCCCACAAACATGCCAGGTTCTTAATATCATCACATGGCCGCACAGTCTCACAGTAAATTCTAACAAGACCAACTTCATACCTCTACTTTTCTCAATCGGTATGTTTGTTTTTATTTCCCTGTTGTTAGACTCATGGCTGTGGAAGATGAGCTGAGAGGGGGTGCCATTCCAGATATTAAGCCTCGAATCCTCACAGACCAGGTTTGTGCCTGTGTCTACATCTTTTATCATCCCTATCCCAGTCATGTCCTAAACCAGTTTGCTTCACGCTTGCATCACATCCACAGCATTCGCCAAAGCTAGCGCAGGTCAGGGAGTTTTGCACATCAGCAACCTCCATCGTATTTTTGTCACCTTTAAAACATCTCACCGCATTTTGAGGACACTTGAAGGGGAAAGCACCAATGCTTCCGCTGTAAAATGAGATATTTTAATTTAAATTTATTATTATCCCATAAAATGCATTCATCATTAGATGATTGTGACTCACTAGTGTAATTCTGCTTCTTGAATGCACCACGTGGGCTGAACAGTGACGCAGGTGAAGAGGCTGCTTGTGCTGAAATAACTCAGGATTAACGTTTGCCATCCTTGAAATGCACCTTCACCAGTATTTTATGTTAGAGCTCTACTTCAGGAGAAATAAGACACGATTGCATGTTGGGAATCAATTATAGACATGTTTCTACACGGCATGATTGTTTTCACGCCTGACATCGAAAACAAACCATGTGTAATAGGAATAAAAGTCCAAACGGTTCTACTCAGGTTAGAATTTGGTTTGTTACTTTAACCCTTTGGGCATTTAGTCATATAGTAATTAAAGATATACAAGAGGAAGGACAATTGGCACAGATGGTCATCTGAGACCTCTTGTATATGAACCTCTGTGATATTGTTGTGCTTCACTTTATTAGATGCAAACTTTCTACAGCTAATGTCAAGATGTAGATTTGTGAATTCATTGACGTTAGAAGCTACTGCTGCCTTTTCCAAAGAGATGTTCATGTTGAAATGACAGTTTTCATGCAAAATAAAAAACTTTTTTTAATGTTCCATGTCCATTTACGCTTCATCAGTAACACATAAACTAATATTTACACATCTCAGTGAATCCCAGAGGAGTTCTCTTTAAAACGAGACCAAAGGACGTTGTGGTTACAAAAATATTTTCGAGCAGATTTCTCAGAAAAAGGCCTAGGGCCCAAAGGGTTAATAAAACCTTTCACAGAAAAAGTCTGCAAGCTTTGCTTTAGACAGCTTTAGCATCATCGTCCAGTCCTAACTTCTTTATATTTGGTTTCCAAGTGGCCAGAATTTCATTTAATCCTCTAAAATAATCTTAATCAAGATATCTCAGTTTAAATAAACTGAGCCTAGCCACCATACAGAAGAGCATTTACAGAAACACACCAAAGAAAACCCAAGTAAATCCCTGGCGCTCACTTTTCCTTGTGTAAAATTTAAGCCTTTGGAATAGTTTTTAGACAGTTTTTAAGACAGCGGCATTCAAAGAAAACCCTTTGAACGTAAAATGTAAAAAAAAAAAAGCTACAAAAAAGTCTGGCTGCTGTTAAAAACTAGAAACGGCTGAAAACTCAAAGACTCTCTTTGTGAAAACTTGTGTTTTTATTTTATTTTCTTGAAGTTTTTTCTGTTTTGATGCTTCAGGTCATTGAACATGCTTTTTGACGTTGACGTCTTTCCCTCTCTGCCCAGTTGCCTCCAGAATTTTGTTTGTTCAACAAGAAATTTATATTTTTAAATCACATAAGTACATTCTTATCGCATCTAAAACAATTTAAAGCTTTTCACATCATGCCAAACCATCTTTGCCTTTGCTGTGGTGAGGTATAGTACATGTGCACCCATTGGACAGTAAGCTGTTTGGCTAGTAGAATGAGCTTGTCTAGATGAAATGTCAAAAGGAATGGCTTCTCTACTTTCAGTCTTTAAAGGCCAAGTTCACTGAGCAATCATATCTTACTTGATATTTTTGAAATACGATTGGTCGCTCTAACATGCAGGCTAAATTTGAAAATAGTCTTCTGCCCCTATTTCTTGCATTAGCTGCCGAAAGAAAACCGGCGGGGATACGCCCGGATTAGAAAAGCCTAACATTAGCACTTCACATTGCCAGATTAGCATTCGTGGACTCGCCCATCATGGCTGACGATGGGGAAGGCTGTTGTTGATTTAGCGCCCAGGAGAGATTAGAGCACGCCTCGACTAGTAGAAGCTAACTATTAGCAGTAGCATTTCCACAACATGGCAGAGCTCCTTCTGGCTTGCGTTATTTGTGGAGATAAAACATCAACATTGCAGAGCAAACAATCAGTGGTAGAGGGGTGTTGCTGTTAGCCAATCAGAGGCAAGATGTCCGAATATCAGGAAATAGGATTCACCTCTGCTCTGGCTCACTTCTAGTTTCTGAAATAGGAGTGCCACAGCTTTATCCCCACAGAGACTGGCTCATAATTCATTCATTTACACTAGATACCTCTGCAAATGTGTTGAAAGAAGAGTGAACTTGGTCTTTAAAATAAGATTGACATTGAGGAATTTGATATTTAGTTCTAAATCTAAGTGAGAGTTTATTGAAACGAAAGTATATCCCAGAGTTTCCATTTTATTCTGTGTTCTCCTAAAATGTAGAGGATTAAAACTACAATTTGGACTAAATGAATTCAAATGCCTCTTAGAAGTCAGAATTCCTATTTGTAAAGTCTAACTTCAAAATCCAATATGGCTGCCTCAGACACAAATTACTGTTAGCTGTAGCAGCAACATGTTTTTTTGACCTTCTGTCAGTTTCTGTCTCAATAAATCAGTCACACACACACACACACACACTTTGAGCCACTCTTTATTAGTAAATATGTTGCTACAGAGTTTGTGTTGCATAATAGCAGCATCGTATATTGTTAGCCTGTTAGTGTTAGCTTGTAAGTGTTAGCCTGGTCTGGGAACAAGAATGATCAAAACCAAGCAGATGTTTGACTTGTAACTGAATCATTCAGAATTCCAACATGGAGCATAGCACAGGCTAACCAACTACGTGCTCCAGAACCACATTTACTTAAATTTCTTGATTTATCCATATTTTTAAATGATAAAAAGCCAGAATTTTCTTTCTTTTTTTTAAACACAGATGTATATGTGTGGTTATTAAGTCATAAATAAAGAAAAGTGATCTTTTTTTCTGTTTGTCTCCCTTCAGTCTATCAGCCAGGGCTATGGTGTCCTCCCAGGATCCTGACTGCCAGTTCCAAGGTGACCAGAGATCATGATGGTCACTCGAGTGTAACAATCCAAATGCTCCCAGAGAGTCAAGACGAAGCTCTACAAATGGACTAACGGAGGTGTCATCTCACAACATTAACCCATTAAAACTAAAGGAAATTTTTAAAAAGTTGCACAAATTCAAACTTAGCCTGTACCAAAACTTGACAATCAGCTTAGCATGAAGACCAACGTGTGCAGCCAACCCCCTGCACATGTTGGCTGAAACATAAGCCAGTGCCACAACAATGGCAATACTGTTCCTACTGAGATTCTCAAACTGCAGTAGGGAGAAAAAAGGGAGAGGAGGTGTGTAAAACAGTGGGATGATGAGGGATTCTGGATCGTCTCTAGTGGCTGCAGATCTAAAACGAGGCTTTTACCAAGCACAATACCCCTTCATGGTGATGCCTTTGACAAGCAACAATTATGTTGCTCAATTATTTGCCATTAAAGATTCTCAGATCCAGAGTGTGTCCCACCGTCTGGTTCTGAGGAAGTCATTTAGAAGTCGTAAATATGTTTTGGATGGCATCACCATGTTTGCATTCTTCAAGGAACAGCCATCCAGTCGAGTTCTACAATCAGCTGCTTTAAGTACAATCTGACTCTACTTTCTATTTCCTTTTGTCTTACGAATGGGAAAACTTAATAAAATGATGAGGTATTTTAAAAATATTGACTAATAATGCTGAACATATCAAATCAGTGATACAAGGTGATGCTGAAGCTGAAGTAGAAGTGACAACGGCGGATAAACGAGACGGTAAAAACGAGAGAAGAAAAGACGATGGTACAATAAATAGAATTTTTACTCATAAAATGTAGAAATTCCTTAAAATGACAATGTGTTGTTTTTACTTTTAATCTCTGGAAATATATGTTAAAAATGTACTAAATGATGTTGGTGGCTTCGTAAAATATAACCACAAAAACTGGGTTTAAAATACATAGGATCAGGTCTAAGTCTCTGTGTGGCACCATATTAGACGCAATGTTTCCTTCTACGGGAGCCCATGAGGACAAAACGCATTTACTGATTTGTAAAAAGCATTCACAAAACTTTCGCCAGTCATAAATGTTGTTTTACGCATTTACCTCCTCACTCGTTGCCAGTAATGAAAAGGAGTCTGATGTGCTTTGTCATTTTGCCAGACGTTGAACTATCTGACAAAGTACTCATTCAAAAATTGCACTCCCAGGTATTTTTGACCCTGATGGCCATCCATTGGTAAGGTCTTAATCTAACACAAAAATGCTGCTTGCTTGCAATGATTTAGGTATGTGCTGCCCCCTATCGCCAGTGAAAATTCCCACAGTCCCTTTAAAGACTTAACATTAAGCTTTTATAAACGTAACCCCAACTAATTAGTTTCAGCAACTGAAAAACCAAGGTGCTTTAACTCTGACTAGAATGTCATAGTCGTACAAAGCTAGTAGACATTGTTCTAATACAAAATGGCCTGTATTTACATAGCACCCTCTAGAGTCCTACAACCCCCCAAGGCGCTTTGCAACACAACCTCTCAGAGGTGAATAGAAAACACTGGTTAATTTGTTTTCATTTTTGAGTTGTAAAAATAAACTAAAATCTATTTTACAACACCTACATTTTATTGGCTAATAAGAGAAATTGGACCTTCAGTTTTGGTGAACATGTTTACTTTTAAGTAAGCCCCCTTCAGACAGGCCATGAAGAACGGAAATGTTCGGGACTCTGTCCGTAAGACCTTTGTGTCTGAATACAAACATCCGGATAACGTTTTCCGTAATTAAACCGGACGAAGCCCCTAGTAACAGGTCCGGACTTGTCACGGACAAGGTGGCTGCTTCAGACTGGTGAGGTCGAGTTCCGGACAGGGGAGAGGAGGAGGAGGAGGGGACAGAGGGACGCTGTGCGCACCTAGATAGCCCGCTACTGTAGCATGCGGAAAACCATGGCAGCTCACCTCCTACGGAACCGCCTAAATGCGTGACGGAGCGCTTCACACCGCTTCAGTGATTCCTTTAACCATTGAGCTTCATCATCCAGGTCTCTTATGCATCTTCGTGTGCGCAGAATTATGCTTACCATCAGTCCGATTTCCCCCCTTCCCCCCCCCCCCCCCCAAGCCCCCCACCCCCACCCCCCACCCCCAGACTTCTGGAACCTTTCCCTGCTGTGTGAAGGCAGCCGGAAGGACAAGTTCCGGTACAAAAGTGGTGTGTCTGAAAACACAGTTCTGGATAAAAACCGGACTGAATTGTCCACGCATATTCCAGAATGTCTATCTGAAAAGGGTTGTAGAGTCACTTGATAACAGAAAACAAACATTGTTTATGAACCTAAAGTTATTAAAAGTATGTTTTTCAATAATTTTTAATTAAAGCTATTGTGTCCCTGGATAATAGTAATAATAATATATCAATGTTGATAAGATGAAAATATTACAGTGCAAGAATTCAATAAAGATTTAAAGTAACCTGATCTAGAAGTGACTTTACATTTAATAATCTAAATTATATAAAATTAATAGTTTAGATGTTTGGAAGTGAGCTCATGAATATATAATGGATATTTCGTAGAAGTGCCTCATTTTGGAGATATTGAGGATAGTTCTGACTGGATTGATAAGCTAACAACTAGTCTAAGTGAGGTCACTGGTATCTTGAAACAGCCTAAATGTGAAAAATATCATAAAAGTTCACGCAAATGTAAATTTCACATCATGTGGTTAGTTAAAGGGACCAAATGGAAGTTTGACAGCCAAAACATGTATAGAAATAATAAATTTCTTCTTCATACATTCTCCTGCAATGCCCTGGTCCTGGATAATGAGCCCTGGCATTTTTACTGTGATTGCCTGTTTTTCTGTAAAATCACAGAAAAAGAGAGCTGCTCGGGTCGAGCAGGCTGCTTTATGCGCGTTCACGCTCAGACATAGCCCGTAGCATTTGCTATCAGTAGCTTTAGCAGCAGAGAGTGAGGTTGTGCCAACTCAGTAACTTTGCCACTGTTCCTAACGCCTAGTGATGAACCTAGCTACATTTCTGAGGACCCTTAGCTACTTTCTTCTAGATATTTCCTGCAAATTAGCAACAAAATAGCCGTTTTCGCTCCGAACCGTTCTTTGGTTTGACGTTGTTTCAGCTGTCATCAAGGATATAAAAGTTACAGATACAAAGAACGTCACTGGCGCTTTAGCTCACCTAGTAAGATGCCTGACTCCCATGTAGGAAACCTGGGTTTGATCCTGGGTGTGAATAAAGTTTACTATTTGGAGTTTCTTTTTTTACATTTTTTACAATAATGATAATAAGACGCCCAAATTTTTATTTGAGACTCGCCAAACGGCATTGAATTCACGGATAAAAAAGATGTGGGTTCAACTTTCATTTTGGAACAATTTTTCAAGCAAGGGAAGGGAATGATCTGAGCATGCAGGAGGACTGACCCATCTTAAACCTTTGTCGGCTGTGCTGAAGAGAAAGGTACAGAACCTAATTACTTAAATAATTAGCTGCACGTTCTCCTGTCCTCTGTCCTCCGGGCCACACACACACACACACACACTGCACGTTCGGCCGGCCGACGAGAAAGTGCAGCTGCAGAGACAGAGGGACGTTATTTTTATTAATTTCCTGTGTTCTTCTGTCCTCCGGGCCACTCAGACGGGACTGTCTCTGCTGTTATTTTCGTTAAGGAGTGTAAAACAGCATGCGCGCCCCGTGCACGAGCCTACTATTGAAGCCGCCGTTACGCTTTTGGCCTGAGGGGGCAATCGCGAGCATAAAAATTCAAAAGTCCGAAAAGTCCCTTTAAGTACAATTTAGTGATTATATGCAGTCAAAATTAGGTGTGAAGCTGTTCAACACTTATAGGTGGAAATTCGCAACATTTCTGTTGGAATATTCGTGACATGTGAAACCGTCTACACTGTAAAAGATTCTAAAATACTCTTAGATTGATCTAATTTTAGAATAGGACAGCCCCCTTTATACGTTAGCTGTTAGCACAACATTCCTGTTAGATTATCCAAATTCATCCAAACTGAGATCTTTCAAAAATCTATCTTAGCTTAGATAGTAAACTATAATAAACTGAAGTATCATTTTAAACGTACACTAGGTAACAATTTTTCAGTCAATGTTGAAACAAATTTCCTTGTAAGCCGGCTTGAGAGTTATCAGTTTTTCTCCTTTCAAAAAGGCAGAAGAAGGACGTAGTGTTTGTTTCCAAATTGTGAGCCCAAGGGGTTGCAGAGTAATGCTGCCACTTCGGCATTTGTAATTTGACATCGGCTGGTAGGAAGCTTCAGAGTTGTGGAGAGTATGTTATCCAGTAACAGGAGCGACCCCAAAGTTATTTCTCATATCGTTACATCCCTAAAACTAAGAAGCCATGGCATCTTTTAGTTTTTACTCCAATATTGGGTGAAGCAGGCGAGAGGCTATCATTGAGCTAGCAATGCTAATGGTGAATTAGAAACAAATAGTTAGCTCTAGTAATATCTCAAGTTACTTTTTCAATAACCACCAACTTGATATTACTGTAAAATATATTTTTCTACCTACCAACCTACTTTGTATGGCTCGCCTTTCCTTGTCATCCAGAATCTTCTGGTGCTGATTCGTAGCTGGCAACAGCCATGAACCTCCCAGAACGGCAGCGAGACGGTCTCTCTCCGTTTTGAAACACAGACTGCAGTACCCAAATTTGACCACAGGGTGTCATTCTTACATCATTCTTGCTTCATGCAGCTTTGGAGACAAACCTCCAGTCACTTTGTAACACTGTTTTGAAATGTTTCATAATAAATTGTATTACCTATGACTATAATCCAGATGTGCACCTGAAATCAATCAATCCATAATAATATATCAAGTGGAGCACTCATTTATTTTCTTTCTGTGTTTCAGGATCATAGATGAGTGCATGTGCTTTTCAAACAAGAAGGAATAAATTGTTGGATATGATAACGATGTACAAAAACTCTTTGATTTGACACATCTTTCTCATCTTAAGGCGTCCATTTTTAATCCATGCTGCCGGCTCCTCTATTTGTATAGGAGGAGTGTGCCGCTGAGTCTTTGGCATATTACAACACGAGAACATGGAGAAAAATGGACAAACAATAAACCCATCAGAACACCAAGAAGCAGGGATATGTAGTATATGTGCATAGGATTTGACTGCCTTACAGTCTGCACCACAGGGCCCAAAAATACAAATATAAAATATAAAAAGATCCTGTAAACTTTGTATATTAAATGTTCTTTTTGTAGTCAGGTGATGAATTAATAAGCGGTGTGTTGTTTAACTCTGTTAGAATCATTTATATGATGAATTTCATGGTTGATATAATTTATCTTAACCTCTTGCCTTTAAAAACACATTTTACTTCAAGATAAACAAAGTTAAATGCTTATGTTACCAGATATGTATAAAATAACTTAATGTATATTTATTATTTTATGTAAAATTTATTTAAATCAAAAGGTAGGCCCTCAGGCATGTTGAAGTTGTGGCAAAAATGAATTCTTATGAATATTTTATCTCTTAATGCTGCAATCCTAAAAACATGACCTGCACACCAGCTAGCTTGTGTTCAGTATCGACACAAGCAGCAATGCTTTTACCAATGCTGGATTGCAGTTTTAAGTTATTTTTAACCATGTATTTATTTATTTATTTATTTATTTGGCCTGCATTGCAATACAGTATTCCAACATTTTCAATGTTTTCTTTTTTGACGAACCTGCAATCCTCAGAGTGTGAATAATGTTCTTAGATAAATAAAATGTGTATTAAAAGAATAGTTCAAATCTTTTTGAAGGGAACCATTGTTAAAAGGATAAAAAAAATCAGCATCTTATATGGTGTAGATCTTGAACAACCTCAATTTAATTAAATGGAAATTATTTCAGCTTGGCTTGACAAGCTAATGGCTAGTCAAATGAACTGCTAGTTAGCTGCTTCCTCAAAACTCGAGTCCCAACATGTTATAATAAACTACCAGAGATGTTTCGTCGAGTCACAACATTTGCAACTTTTGATTTGATGAAATTAAAAAGGACTTTGAACAGATGCCTGTTGACTTGACAGCCTATGTCACACAGGTGTCCCACTTAGATAAATACACTTGTAAGAACATTTATAATTTCAGATATGTATTTATTGCTTTGTAACTAAAGTACTTGTATGATCAAGTGCAAGGCAGCCATTTTGATTTCTAAAGTGGGGGTACACAAATGGCTTGAGTGGTGGGGGTGGGGTTAAGGAGCCAAATTTTAAACTATTAATGGAATACACGGTTACTAATTCTCATGAACATAAACATCACATGATGTTCTACCTCCTTTTTGCAAAAGTAATTAGAAAAAGTAGAAACATTGTGAGGGGGTGCATGTCCCCCCTATCCCCCCCCCCCCCCCCCCCAATAAAAAAAATTAATAAAAACTTACACCAATAGTCAAATGACTTGTGTAGAACATTCTGGACTTGACTCAAGACAAGAAGCTCACTACATTTATTCGTCTCTGATGTATTTTCTCATCGAGATGGGTGTAAGCAATGTGCAATCTCTGTTTTTACAAACTGAGACCCTTCAAAGAGCTGCCTATAACAGGTAATTTGTTAACAGTTCATACCATTTCCACAGAACTCCACTTCAAAAGGTGCGAACTATCCCTTTAATGGCAACGTTAGCCGTTTTAACTGCTCCTGAAACCATAGAGGATCCTTTATTTCATTTGGCAAGAAAAAACCTCAACGAGTGTCCACAAGCAAAGTAAAACTTTGCTCCAGAACAAATGGAGGAAAGAATCAGGATGAGATCTTGGTTGCTTGTTTATTTTGGATTTCCCGCCTTTTTCAAAGTTTGTCCAGTTCTTCATAATCAAGTGCCATTACCATCAGAGTCATCCAGATCTCCTTAACTGATTGTTTCCAGGTATCCGTCAGGCTCTCAGGTGTTACGACGAGCACAGAGGTAACTTTTAACATCCTTCTGCCAAATGCACAAAATACCCAAATGCAGATTGTTGTTTTTGTCTGGCAGGTTAGCATTTTAGCTAAACAAAAATCATAAAACCTATGAAATGAGAAAGCTTTGTTTTTATTTCCTCCTGTTACCAGTTCAGCTTAATTTACACCTTTTGCCACATCGTAAAACATGGGTTCCTTTTGTTGGTTCTAAAGAAAAATACTTATGAGGAATATTATAAAAAACATGCTATTGAAAAAGTGTTTGATGTTTACAGAGTTATGATGTTTAAGACAACGTTTGAACCTTTGTAGAACGAAGGAGGGATAACTGCATCTGCAGCAGGAGCTAACAGAGTCAATGATTATCTTATATATTTTAGGAAAGAGGGTATAAAACATCAATCAGCCTATTTATGTTTCTAAAATGGATGTGTAACAATATTTTTTCTCGGCAGCTATTATTCTGCACAATTGACCTGCTGTGTTACAGATATATATAAATATATATAGATATATATATATAATAGATGGTGGGGTTTCTGACTTGAATTAGGCCTACTGGATGTATTATCTTAATTTACTTGAGGTTTCTTTTGAAATAAGCCATGCCCCCATTGATAAGCCATACCTTCCAGACCCTCTGATGTTGTGTGGTGGATGTTTAATGTTAGTTTTATTTATAATAGTAGTTATTGTAGGTATGATTGCGCTTGTAATTATTATTAGTGTAAGTACCCTTGATTGATATGATTTGTTTGAACAAAGGGAATGTATTCATATTTCAGGTGATTTTTTTGCCGAGTGATTTAAATAAATGATTAAATCTCTAACCGATTATCTCCTATTTGATTTATGTGAGTTGTGACAGAGAAAGTGTCTACACAATACTGGCTGGATCGCTTTACGAGAAGATGAAAAGCTAGGAATAAAACCTGAATGAAACGGCTTAAATAGTAGAAAGAATTGTTTTAATGCGATTGATTTTTCTGGAGATTCGATTCGGAGCTGCTTTATAAGTTTTGTTTTGTCAAACGTCCTTCTGACAAACTGCCAATGTTTTCTGATCACATTATGTTGTTTCTACCTTCACTAACTCTCACCCTGACTCTCCCACCTTCTCTAACCCTCTCCCTGACTCGCTCGCCTTCACTAACCCTCTCCCTGACTTGCTCACCTTCTCTAACCCTCACCATGACTCGCTCACCTTCTCTAACCCTCAACTCGACTCGCTCACCTTCACTAACCCTCACCCTGACTTGCTCACCTTCTCTAACCCTCACCATGACTCGCTCACCTTCTCTAACCCTCAACTCGAGTCGCTCACCTTCACTAACCCTCACCCTGACTCGCTCACCTTCACTAACCCTCTCCGTAACCCAATCCACCTTTTCTAAACCTCACCCTGACTCGCTTACCTTCACTAACCCTCACCATGACTTGCTCACCTTCTCTAACCCTCTTCCCGACTCGCTCACCTTCGCTAACCCTCACCCTGACTCGCTCACCTTCTCTAACCCTCACCCTAACCCAATCCACCTTTTCTAAACCTCACCCTGACTCGCTCACCTTCTCTAACCCTCAGCCCGACTAGCTCACCTTCACTAACCCTCACCCTGACTCGCTCACCTTCTCTAACCATCGACCCGACTCGCTCACCTTCACTAAACCTCATCCTGACTCGCTCACCTTCTGTAACCCTCTCCCTGACTCTCCCACCTTCTCTAACCCTCAACCCGACTCGCTCACCTTCACTAACCCTCACCCTGACTCGCTCACCTTCTCTAACCATCGACCCGACTCGCTCACCTTCACTAAACCTCACCCTGACTCGCTCACCTTCTCTAAGCCTCACCCTAACCCAATAAACCTTTTCTAAACCTCAGCCTGATCCACCCACCTTCTCTTACCCTCACCCTGACTCTCCCACCTTCTCTAACCCTCACCCTGACTCGCTCACCTTCTCTTACCCTCACCCTGACTCGCTCACCTTCTCTAAGCCTCACCCTAACCCAATAAACCTTTTCTAAACCTCAGCCTGATCCACCCACCTTCTCTAACCAGCATTTCCCAGTTCCGGTCCTCAGAACCCCCTGTCCGTCTCTGCTTCAGCACACCTGATTTACTCATTTGCATTACCTCCTCAGGTAGACATCAGGCGCTGCAGATGACTGTTAATCACTCGTTAATCTAACCCTGTCAGGTGTCTGTATGGCAGCAGGTAAACTCTGATGTTTGAAAGGGCAACAATGAAAACATTTAGAGCAGGGTGTTCTGAGGACCGGGATTGACAAACACTCCCCTAACCCACTCCACCTTCACTTAACCTCACCCCAACACGTCTACCTTCACTAACCCTCACCCTGACCTGCCTCCCAACTCCCTCTCCAACTTAATATCAGACTCTGTCTTCCCTGCTGCTAGAAAACACCTTCAGCAAGTCCGTGTTTTGCTGCTGGAAGCCTCAACATCTTTTTTTGTCGTCACAGAAAAGAATCACTTCCCAACTAAATCAGAGTATCCATTCTCTTGGTGGGCGCACAGTTTCATCTGATGTCAGAGCTAATCACAGCCAGCTCGAGTCATTCACCACGATGTGACTTAGCAATTCAGGCTCATCATCTCTGGATGCACGGGTAATGAGATGTCAGCTGTAGTCCGTCAGAGATCTGCGTGGTGACAAAGGATGAGCAGCAACCAGATCCCAGGATGAGTGAGGATCGGTGTCATGGCTCCTGCTGCTCAGTCTCAACTGAAATCACACTCCCTCTACATGTGTAGTGGTATATTTAGGTTTATTACACACTTTACAGAAATTCTCATTTTATTCTGCCTTCAAAATGTGAATAACACAGTTTCATTTGCACTATCAAAAAATGGCACAAGTACAAAAAAATTACATACAAATAAACACCTGAGAAAACTTCTTTTCAGAGGAGATGTTTTGGGGGGAAATCTTATTCATGCAGAGCCTTTTTCCGTAAGAAATTTGGGTTTTTCATGTCTGTGAATTCCGGAGAAAACAAACAAGTGGATAGAAAGATGATTATTTCTACTAAGATTTTACATTATTTTTTAAATTGTCTCAGCAAATCAAATGCACCTCGTCAGCCCAGCGGCGGCAGCAGTAAGCAGTTGTTCAACATATCAAAGTATCACAAGAGCATAGTGACACGTTTCAGGCAACATATCTGGAAGATACAAAATAACCAGATGTTCTCACAAAATGAGGCCAGAGTGGAATTCTGAAAAGATTGTGATGCAACCAGATAAAACACAACATAAAAAAACACCATGGAGAAATGATCACAGACACGAAATGATCGATGAGACATTGACAGACGTGGAAGCTCTAGAGCAGGGGTGTCAAAATGCGGCCCGCGGGCCGTATCCGGCACGCAAGTGGGTTAAATCCGGCCCGCGAGATGGTTGTGTCAACTTTATTTTCATACTTAACTACATAGAGTGAAAATAAACGTATCTTTGTGAGCAAGTTTTCTCTGTAATGAGTATAAACAAAACAAAGCTGCGCTCAAGGCTCACACAAGAACTTGAATCACATCCTGAAGTTGGCCGCCACTCAGGATGTGACTCCTGATATTGATGTGCTGGTGAAAGCTAAAAGATGTAAAGTAAAATGAGTCAAATATACTTTAAGTGCTGCATGAAAGTGATCTAGCCATGTGATCTGTAAGCTCTTTGAATCACTAAGGAATGTTTATTTATTGATTTTTTTTTTTTTTTTTCAAATTTTCAAGTACACTTCAGGTGTTGTACTTGTACTATTTTGGATACACCGTCCTCAGGCTCCAGCCTTGTTTTATATTGATTGTATTAAAACAAAGAAAACAATCTGAAGTTGTTTTTAATTTACCGGTCCGGCCCACTTGGGACTAGATTTCCCTCAATGTGGCCCCTGAGCTAAAATGAGTTTGACACCCCTGCTCTAGAGGGACACTACATGTCCACAAGGAGATGCACTCAGAAAGATAAAACATCTGCTGCAGAAAAAACAATTACTACAGAAACTAAATAAAAATACTAGATAATGAGATCAGAAAGTATTCCACTTCATCAAAATTCATAAAAATATGCGAACTTGAAGCAATATAGTTACAGCCGTCCTGGAAATGTATCGTTAGATGCTTTCAATCTTTATTATGATGTGAGTGGCAAACATATTTACAAACTTCTTCATTATTCAGATGAAAATCTCTGATTTATAAACAGTGTTCTTACATTTATTAACATGTCGGCTGAGAACAGTTTGCCTTAAAAAGAACAAACCCTTGTGAGCAGAACTCTACTGCCACCTAGTGGTGAACTGGAGTCCCGGAACACAAAATAAGTGTAGTTTCCAATAATAACAATACAGAAACGAATGTATGGATTTCAGTTAGTGTCAAAAAGAAAAAAAAATATTAAAGCAATTCCACTAATAACTAAAAGCACATACTAAGTAAAATTAGGAGTAAAATAATACCATTAACAACAGTAGCAATTATAATAATACAGTTTCCAGAGTGAAAGTGACCAATTACTTTAAAAGTCTTTATTTAACTAAAAAGACATTCACCACTCATGTGTCCTGTTATAGAATATTACATTTAAATGAGAACATTAGAGCATTTCTCCAACATGTAAACAATTATACTTTTTTTTTGGAGAAACAAGAGAAAAATAATCCCTCCCCAAAAAATTTTTATCACTTTTTTCAGTTTCTTTTTAGATTTTTCCTGAAAACGACAAAAAGATCTCCCAACAAGACATCCACTATCTGAGAGTAAATTCACTGCCGAGGCAGCGTTAACCATTTCTACACAGGCCCTCGAACGTTTCACACCATATTCTTGTTGAAAAAGAGAAATTACACAAGGTGCTCGGATTCTATCGTGCCAGATGAATTAACTGATATTTTAAATCATGCTAAATGTTTTAGCACTCCGCTTTAGAGTCCATGAAGAGCACGCGTCATGCAGGAAACAGATGACGCCCGTGCTGTTTGCGTTTCATGAAACGAGCCAACGTGTTGAGGTTTTAGGGATGAGACGCCACCGTTGGAAGTGTTGCCAGAGGTTTGTACATCCGCGTGTCACTATGGGACGTCTGACTGTACATGTTGTTGAGTGGAATCGCGAACTGCCCTGCTTGCCCCGACCCCTCCTCGGTGTTTATAGCGTAGGGAACCTTTGACTTAACGGCCATGTTTAATTTGAAGAGCACATTACGCAGAGCGGCGCGGTATTCTTTCCTGACCAAGCAGTAGATGACAGGGTTGAAACAGCTGCTGGTGAATGCCAAACAGTTGGCCAGGGGGAAGAAGTACGTCTGGGCCGAGTAGAAGGATTTGCTGATGTCGAGGATGTCTAGTTGGATCAGGACACTCCAGAGAGTGAGGACGTTGTACGGGAACCAGCAGGCGCAGAATGACAGCACCACCACTGCAACGGACTTTGATATGTCGGCTTTTCGCCGAGAGTTGTTGCCGCCTTTTAGCTTGTGTCTACAGAGAAAGCGCAGCAGACGCAGGTAGGACAGGGTGATGATGGCGTACGGAAGCAAAAATCCAAGCACCACTCGGACGAGCTGGTTTATCCCGAGCCAGGCCGTCCCATCCGGGAAGCGGAGCAGGCACGTAGTGTCGTTGCCCACGTTTATGAGGTCTGCAAACACGGCTCGAGGCGCGGCTGCGATCAGCGCCCCGGCCCAGATTAAAGCCGTGGCCACTGGGAAAGTGCACGATCTGTTGCACAAGGAGGAGCTGGGTTTCAGAGCTGTTGCGACGTAGCAGTATCGAGTCAGGCTCATGGCCGTCAGGAAAAAGCAGCTGGCAAAAACGTTCAGTCCTGTGAGTAAGGACACAGCCTTGCACGTGGCCAAACCAAAGGGCCAGCTGTAGTCCAGGGCGATATCCACGGCCCAAAAGGGTAAGGCCAGGGAAAAGAGCAAGTCAGCCAGGGCCAGGTTGAAAACAAAGAAATTGATGGTGCCTGTGGTGATGGTATGGGTGGAATAAAGCAAAAGCATGACCAACAAGTTGCCCAGCACTCCAGCTGTAGCCACAATAAAGTACACCACCGGGATGAGGACTCTCAGCCAGGGGGATCCATCGTCTAGGAACTCGGTGCCATTATTCATGCTGTGAAAAATCAACTGGGAGTTGTTGCAAAATGGAGCTATGCTACAGCCATTCAAGATGTTATTATAGAAATCGGCACTCTTGTAATCGATGTTTGACATTTTTCTACCCCGAAGGCCTCGGCGATTGGGGTCAGGGCAGAGTTATCCTTGTAAAATCGAGTAAACAACAAGGAATCAGAAGTTCTGGCTGCTTTGTGTTTACTGGATGACGATCATCTGGCCCTGCGAGGGAAGAGGAAATTATTACCTCATCAACGCTGCAGTTCATGAGCACGTAAGTAGATTAGGTTTGTAAATGAATTACACTCGAGTGTCAGCCGCAGAGCCAGATGACAGAGTCAAAGACAAGATCTGAGTTTCACCTTTAAAATCAACATCATCTAATACGAGAATTCCTTATGGTCAATATTTAAATCATTAAAACCTAGAAGTAGGCGTTCGTGTATTATTATTAGAGACTTTCATAATAAATTTGAGGTCTAAAATTTTATGTATTTTCTGGAACTTGGAGATAAATTCAAAGTTTTCTGTGACTTTTTTTTTTTGCATATAACTGTTGTTAGTCATTCACGTCTAACTGCATCATCATCAGCATATAGAAAACATGTCCTTTCTAAGGAAATTACAAACAAATCTACTTGGCACATTAATTTAGTTTAAGCCATGTGTCTGGTAACAATATACCGTCTCAAATCGGTGAATAACACCCACGTCTGAAATGCAAAAAGTTGAAAAAGTGATATTCAGAAGTTATGGATAAAAGCAAACCTTACCCGAAACTCCGATGGTGCTTAATCTTCAAAGATACGTATATTTCTGCAGCCGCGAGCTCAGCTGCTGGACTGCATCAACAGCAATAACACAGATGTCACCCACCACCCACTCTGGATTCTTGCTCCACCCCATCGTGTTTTTCTCTCTGATTACTCATAAACACCAAGAATCAAAACAAATGAAGAGGGGGGAAAAGCTACTGCTCATAACTTGCGAAAATATAGAGAATTAGTGTAAGTTTTGTTTCTTTGAACTCCTGAACTTTTGTTTTTTTTCTCCCAAATGAATAGTTGTGTGCATTTTTTTTTCTTTTCCCATCTTCCCGTGTAGAAAATCCAATGAAAATGTTGAGAAAATATATCTTTTATTTATGCATGAGTTAGTTTGTCTATTAGAAAAAATCTCATGAACCACCGGGTGGATTACAGTGGACTAGTTACAAAGTTCTCTTTGGGAATCAATATAATTCAAAATGGCTGCCAAAGTTAATTTTTCAACACAAAAATGCCTACAATGTAGAGCTGGACGATACGGCCTAAAATCAATATCATGGTACGTTGAGGATTTCACCTCAATAACGATAAATGGACGATATCTACATTTATGCGCAGAAACAAAAATTGTCCACTAGATGGGGCTGTCACGTGTATTACATCATGTACCTCAAAGGAACACGAAGGTCGCCAACCATCTTTTCTTTCTTTTATTATCGAATTTATTGAAATGGGGGGGAAAATTGGTTAGAGTCAGAAATTTTGATAATTTTTCAATTTATTTCCAGCCTTATGGCAACATGATCAGTTTCACATATCAAGCTAAAATCTGTCACAGCTATGACTCATTCCCACTGGAGAATATCTCCAGATTTTAAAATTATCTAAATGTTATGGAACAAGCCACAGGGTGACCCTATGAAGTTTATATTGATTTAAATACACGAGGGAATTTATAGTGTTAGCTAGAGTGCCAACTCCTGCTAGCTGCTAGCTGGATGCTTCTTCATTTCCAACTGTAAGCGGTCATCACAGGTTTACAACACGTCCGACTGATCATGTGCAAACAAGCCTTACAGAAAGGTTGTTCTCTAGATTGCTAAAAAACTCTGGGTTCATGTTTCGTGCTAAATTGCACTCAGTTATTGGTGTTGCAGTGGCTGCACACACACACACACACACACACACACACACACACACACACACACACACACACACACACACACACACACATATATATATATGAGATCAAAGTAGCAGGGGCCAAGACATATTCCATGTCCCCAGCCACTTGGGCCAGCTCCTTCGGGGGAATCCTAAGGCATTCCCAGGCCAGATGAGAAGCTATAGATTCTCCATCGTGTCCTGAGTCTTCCTTTAGGTCTCCTCCTGGTTGGACGTGGCTGAAAAGCCTTACCAAGGAGGCATCCTAACCAGATGCCCGAGCCACCTCAACTGGCTGCTCTCGATGTGGAGGAGCAGCGGCTCTACTCCGACTCTTTTTAGGCTGGGTGCAAAACAACCTCATCAGCCTGACCGTTATCCTATTTTAACGTATTTTTACTGTTTCTGATTTACATTTTTGCAGATTCCTCTTTAACTGAAACACACACTTTAAACAGGAAATAGCCCATTTGTTCCAAGTTTTTTGGATTTTCTTTCTCTGTGGGTCTTTTCACAGTTTCACTAGTATTGTTAAAATGCATTATATTCAATAAGAAGGTTGAAATGTATTTATTTATTGAATCATTTGTCTTCTATTTATATCAGGGGCGTTGCTTCCAGATTGGATTGAGCTACAGAAATGACTCTTCGTTATGAACGGTTGATCGTGGAAAGAACATCAGCAGTGAATGACCAAATGAGATTAGGATGCCAAAGGCGGAAGGGTGAAGAGTCTGATTTATCCGGGTCTGTTTAAAACGAGGCGTTGTCATAAACCAAAAGCACAAAAACACACCAATCTCTGAGTTTACCGACATTACTGTAGATCGGGAGAGAATAGATCTCTGCGCAGAGCCGAGTGTCACCTCTCAGCTGACCTAAAGTCGAAAAGTCAACAACAATAAGGAAACCATGAGAGCCAAATAAAAAAGAATATCACTGCTGCACAACAAAGTATACTTGTGATTTCCAATCATGCTAATTAAATAACAAATTACTGTGAGCACCAAAATAAATTTAAAAAATCAGCAAGAAGAGAAGAGTTATTGGACAAATTGAAAAGTAAAATTTTTAATTTACACAAATTTACGCCGAGTCCCAGTCAAGCATGCCACCTGACCTGAATTTAACCCTTATTTTCAGGGAAAAGTGGAATAACCCAGGAACTCTATAAAAACAACAAATACCCGATACAAATCCCAGCTTTGTGTTTTATTTTTTATTTCATTATTTCCTTGTGTAATTATTTCCAAACAATGATTTTCAATTAGGGATGCTCGATATTTGCATTTTTATACCGATGCTCTGATATTAAATTATTTAAATTTTAATGCTAATGTCAGCCGATATTTAATGGCAGATCGACAATATCGGAGATCGCTAATGTGAATAATTTTGTTTTAATTCTTTGCCATTTTTGTTCATCACATTTTATTCCTGATATCTTACTGAAACATTCACTTAAAAAATAACAAACTAACACAAATCTAAAAAAATAATGATACGTTTAAAGAAAAGGTAATTCAATTCAATTCAAATTCAAAAATACTTTATTAATCCCAGTGGGAAATTGATTGTTGTAGTAGCTCAGAATAATAATAATAATAATAATAATAATATATCAAGTCGTCAAAGAGTTGTTGTATATTACAACGGCTGTTGGCAGGAAGGATCTCCAGTAGCGGTCAGTGTTGCAGCGAAACTGAAGAAGCCTCTGACTGAAGACACTCTTCAGTTGTCGGGCAGTCTTGTGGAGAGAATGCTCAGGGTTGTCCATAATTTTCTTGATTCTCTGGAGAATCCTTCTTTGCATTATCTCCTCCAGTGGTTCCACAGTCGTCCCCAGAACAGAACCAGCCTTTTTATTAGGCTGTTGAGCCTTTTCAGGTCCCTGCTTCTGATGCTACTACCCCAACAGACGATGGCTGAAGAGATTACACTCTCAACAACAGACTTGTAGAAGATCTGCAGCATCTTGCTACATTGAAGGACCTAAGCATCCTCAAGAAGTGCAGTCTGCTGTGTCCCTTCTTGTAAACGGCTTTGCTGTTCTTTCTCCAGTCCAGTCTGTTGTCCAGGTGAACTCCAAGGTATTTGTATTCCTTACAACCTTCATTTCTCTCATGATGGAAACCGTGTTTGACTCCACCCTGTTTCTTCTGAAGTCTAAAATCATCTTCTTTGTTTAGTTCACGTTCAAGGTCAGATGATGTCTCTGTGTTGCCCTGCGATGGACTGGCTCTCTGTCCAGGGTGTACCCCGTCTAATGGCCCGTTGACCGCTAGAGGTAGGCACCAGCCCCCCCGCGACCCTACGTGGACTAAGCGGGTTCGGAAGATGGATGGATTTTCTCGCCAGGAGTTACACAACTGTCCCTTTTTCACCTTTAGTGCACAGATTAAAGTTGTCAAAGAGTTGGTTATTTCCCAATAACCAAAAACAAGACAAGGTGTCCAATTAGAACAATAATATCTTAAATCCATTATTAGACAAATGACGTTTTAGATTATTTGCTAGACTAATGTCCACAACCACAGAGTTTGGACCCAAGTGTTGCAGTGAAGCAGACAGTGAGTCGTGCACAGATGTGACTTTGTTGCCACCTTTTCAATTCAATTCATTTCAATTCAAAATTCAAAGATAAGGGTGAAGAGTCTGATTTATCCGGGTCTGTTTAATCCTAGGGGGAAATTAGGGTGAGAAATAAAAAACAGCACTTTATTGTGTCAACAGGAGAAACTTGAGCCCTCTAGTGGAGAATACCCGAGCTAAAACAAACATGTTTTTAGACGATAAAACTTAAACGTATTATCTTAGGTGTGTTCTTGCTGTGTCTTTCTAAATCCATGCTTTCGTTCTTTTTTAAACACAGAAACAGTTTTGTTTACCTGTTTGTAGCTACAGTTTCGCCGACGGCTGCCGGCTTCTTCAGGCTGACGCTGTTTCTGTGTTTAAAAAAGAACGAAAGCATGGATTAAACGTATTATAATTGAAATTTAGAAAATAAATTACTACTAACAAAATATTTTAAAAATTTTTTAAATATATTTTTTACTGGTGATGGCACATATTGTGGTCTTATTTGTTAGAAGTGTTTAAAGGTTTGGACATGAAGTCTTTTTGCAAATTTTATTTATATTCTTATGTGTGTGTTTGTTTTGGGTTGGTGGTTTGGGGTTGCCCCCTGACAAAATGCCTAGGACCGCCCCTGGATGGTTATGTGTCAGTTTTACATCTGTGCATTTTTCAACTAGACAGATTTTCACGAATCATCTTGTACATTTAGACAAGATAGATATTTTCTGCTGTACAACTCATGCTTTAGAGTGGTTTAAAACCATTTTTAGTGATTTTGCATAAATAATTTGGAATTTAAGACAATTCTTCCAAGTTGTTTAACTTGGAGCCAAACAATGTTGTAGAATTCTCACCTGCTTTGAAACAGAGCTTTCTTCAAATGATATTTTACTGGCCCTGTCAGCTGTACACCAAATAAATGTAAAGCTTTTTTCTGATAACCTATTTTTTGGACAATTTGGAGATTTTTAACAACGTTTTCTTGAGTGGGGATCTTAACTTGTTGAGTGGAGATTTGAACTTGTTGAGCGGGGATTTGGACTTTGTTTTTTGGCACCCCCGTGTGGACGCTTGACAGAATGACCTTGTGAACAACAGATGAAAGCAACAATGGAGGTTTTTCTTTGTTTATTTCAATTAATATTGATCCTGATGCCATTAAATCCTACACTAGAAATCTAGACACACAGTAACTGAAGGAAAATGATTTTGCTCTGCATGTCGGTCTAGCCACGCTAGGCGGTGATGGGCCTGTGAAAACTCCGCTGGTGGTCGATTCAGCCCCGGTAGTGTAAACCGCGGGAAATTCAGAAGGAGGGGGAGGAACCGCGGGGAAAAAAATCACTGCTAGCAGGGAGGTGACCCAACACAGCCTCAGTGACAATAATAATGATGATGGCTGGGTTAGTTTGGGAGAAGAGGAACAGTATTCAGAGTGGATCAGGCATTTTGATGAGCCAGCTGGATACTGTGGAGTCAGGGATCTGTCAATTCAGAACACATTGATTTTCTGTCAGTTTTTTTGGATGAGGAATTCTGGACCCTCATCACAACTGAAACTAACCGATATGCTCACCAGTATTTAGAGAGGGAGGAACTGAAATCTAGCTCCAGAAAAGCCTGAGATTGAGGATTATATATATATATATAATATATATATATTATATATATATATATATATATATATATATATATATATATATATATATATATATATATATATATATATATATAATAAAATAAACCAAAGAAGGGATGAGTGAAATGTGTTCATGACACTGAAGCACCAAAAACAGTGTTCTTGATTGATACGCAGTAAACATAACAAAATACCAATAAAGTACTAAGTATTATATATATATATATATATATATATATATATATATACACATAGTTATATGTTTACATAGGAATATGTATATATGTATCATAAACAATAACAACACTAAGAAAATAAGACAAAAACATAAAAAAACAACAAAAATCTGCAAATGTGATGCAATCCAATATGGCTGCCACCTGATGACGTCATAATATGCAAATTATGTGCGTGAATTTGTTCCTTTCACAAAATTTGGCTCATACTGAAGATTTTTCTAATTTACAATATTCCCCTATCTCTAACCAGATTTAAGCTACAACTTCTTTAAATAGTGATATGAAAAATTCATATTTTACTGAAAAAACTATGGCGTCTAAAGGGTTAAGTCCTTTATTTACAAAAAGGATGTATTTGCGTCTTCTTCAACAGTGTATGGCGGACTGCCCCATTGACTGACATCTGTAGCAGTGAGTACATCAAGTTGTTCATTGTCCAATAGCATGCGGAGACAATGTAAAAGACAACCATAGATTCTGCCCCACGTCTGATCTCTCCCTATGGGTCGTGCCCAGACACACATTCACATGGCTTGGTGGGAGAAGAAAATCCTTGATTCTGTGTAAATTTAATAGTTTCGAGAGAAAATTGTTAGCATAACCGTAAACAAGTTTTGTGTCAGGTTTTAGCCTAGCAAAGAATTTTCTTCCTTTGCATGTCAAAGTTGTTTCTGTGAGTGCCCTCGCCACCTAGTGGCACGGTGGAGGTATTTCATTGTGTTTCTCAGGTTTTGTAGAAGGTTCATCTGTAAAGATTTTGAAAGAGGAGAAAAATATATCAGGAGTGGTGAAGGAAGGGCTTTTTCTCCGCATCACAAAGACAAAAACAAATCTAGATAATTTTTATGTATTTTGAGTACAGAAATAAAACCTGACTAATAAAAGCATAGTACCGTAGAAAATAAAAGTTATAGTATTGAATTTAAGGTTTTCTTTTTAAAAACATTGACTTTATTCATATCAAAATGTGTTATGATTTTTTATTAAAGGTGTAGATCACTCATTTAATCAATTGGTAGTTCTCTTTACTAGGAACGAATGCCGGGTAAGACATACTCTGAGGAAACAAAGCCCCAGTGCGCCAGTTTCAGGATGCAGAAATGAGCCATGGCAGAGTTGAGCTTCAGACAGGATTTGGAGTCTTATTTCCTGATATTTTGGACATCTCAGTTCAGACTGACCAACAGCAATGCAGCTCTACCACTGACTCTGTTTCTCAAAGTGGCACAACCCAAAAACTATAATTAACACACGATCGTTTATATCCTCTGGTTCTCTGTCTTTTAATCGTGCCTGACGCACTCCGCTCATCGTGTGCTGCGGTGATTTCACCTCACTGACGCAGCATCTAAACGTGCACTCCACTTTGCGGTGAGGAGATCTCTTTGAGCTGTGTAGTTCAAAAGTAACTCGTGAGGTGAAAAAGTAGGAGTCCAGGCGACAGTTTTTCTGGAGAGTTTAGAGGAGATGCTGGAAGTTGAGAGACAGACAGGACAGGAAAATAGTTAAATAAAAACAAGAAAACAAAGAAAACAAAGAAAAATATTTGAAAGTAAAATATAGGTAGATTTATCTCCACTACACGTTTTATAAAACAATAAGTTATACACATATAATATTTATACATTTGATACAATTCAGATCACCTTCAAAACTCATTCACACACCCAGGGCCGTTTCAAGGCATTTTGGGGGCCAAGGCCGAACAGACCCCCCAAAAACCATGTAAAGAACTAAGTGTTATAGCTCTATATAATAAAAAAAATAAGGTTGATTTTAAAATTTCAGATAAAGAAATGCTTAATAATTTTGCTCAAATCATATTTGTGGTGGTATTTTTAATTTTGTCATTTTCCCACTATGTGTAAAACTGGACAATGGACTATATTATAACAATTTAATGACATTTATTAATACTTAATGGGTTTTTAATTGCAGCACTTCAGGATTTAACCTTTAGTTTAATGCCCTGCTGACCCTAGAGCGGCCTATTCACCTGCTGCAACCCCCCCCCCCCCCCCCCCCCCCCCCCGTGTGTTTTTGATCTGAGGTAAACGTGCGCGCGCACACCCTTCACCTCTCAGTCCAGCAGCAGCGAATGGGACAGAGGCGCGCGCGCGCACGCACAGATCACCTCGCGCAGCTCGTTATTAACGTTAATATCGTTATCTCTCGCGCCACTCATGTCCCTCCACGCCAGCTGCTCCGCAGGAGACGGGACCTACCACGGGTCAGGTGCGCCGCTGGGACCGAAGCACGCTCAAGTTAGTTTGGCTTATTTTTAGCTCCAGATAAGAGATTAGCTAAGATAGCGCCCTGATTTAGTCGCCATTGTTCCATCAGTGACGGGATTCCTTCAGGAGCAACCTGCCGCCGGACCCTCTTTTTAAGGTAAGAAGCGGAACTAGACGACGGTTAACCGACAAAATGGGCTGTTTGAGTCGGTCCGGAGCGGGATGCAGTGGCGGTTCGGACACTTTACGGAGCTCCGGCCGGGTGGGGTGGTCGTGGGGGTGTTTTTGGAGTTTGCGCTGGCGAAAGTTCACGACAACATCCCGGCGGCGCGTTTCCGACTTAAATGGATGTCAGTTTGTTTGAGCAGCACTCGGAGCGGCTTAACGAGGCTGGCTCAAGGCCACCTCCGTTAGGTTTGATATCTGTGCTTGCTGTGGGTCGGCACAGCTGCGATCCAGCCACCAGCGAACAGCCAAAACTTGAGGGTGATTGCAAACGAGACAGACAACAAGGCTGCCATTGTACCGGATCAGCGGCGGATTAACTGAACTCCATTTCTCTGCACCGACCGTCTGAATGGCCTCCAGCCCCTCTGCTGCTGCTGCCTCTGGGGCTTCAACATCATCTCCTCCTGGAGCTCTTCACTGAACCTGTCAGAAACTTTTTCCAGAACAGACCAAAACCCTCCAAGATCACGGCTTTCTTTATTCGATGGGGATGGAAGCCAGTAAAAACCATCATAGTAGTCAGGATTATCCCCAAAATGCACATCTAAATCAATTATAAGCTTATTTATAACAGAAATTATTCCCAGAATCAGGCTAGAGCCTTGCAAAAATCTGTATCATCATGATAGGGGATGCACCGATTCTGGTATGGACAGCTGATACCGATTAGAAGACAATACCAAAGCTGAGCGCCCATATGTACTGCAGCTTTTCATTACATTTTCCACCTTATTTTCATGCTAAAATGTCACTAATAACGTTGGTTAATGCACACAATTTCTGAAGCTGAATCACTTTTTGAACTCTGAATTTAAATCTTAACTTTGTGCACTGCTCAGTGGTGAAGTCATGCACATAAATAAAGTTAATTTAGAGTACTTATTTATCGTCAGGCACTCCGAGGATGTGCCTGATGATAAATCGGCTGATGTATAAAAAACGGTAAACATCGGCTGACCGGTATATTGGTCTACCCCTAATTGCGATTATTTTTATAGCTGACCTGCTGATACCAATTTTTCAGATTCCAACGAAACTTGATCAATTAAAAAAATCCACACATATTATTTTTATCGCTGAAAAACCAGAAAATGATAATTCAGGGCCAGAAAATTTCCACATGGGAGATTTTTAGCATAAATTAGCACTTAGCAGTGGTGTTGATTAACAGGTAAAATATATAATTATCGCTGTTTGGTACAAATATCTTCAGACGTCACTTTATTTGGTGAATTTTTAATTATTTTTACAAATATTTCCTTTTCATTGTGGCTTTTGAATGTAGAGGCATCAATTTTAAATGAGCAAATGTTTTGGATTGATTTTTAAAAGGAAGTGTTTCTTTCATAGCCGTGATCAGTGTTAGCATGCGAGGCCTGCATACTTACATCCACAGACATCCAGATGTGATGTCAGGCCTTTATTATGGTCTGGTAATGAAAACAAACAGGCGCAGATTCATGCACTTGCACATCAAGCACCATCCACAGCTCTCCCCTCCTCCCCCAGAGAGTATGTGGCTGACCAACATGTGGAGGAAGTAATCCCAGCTATTAGGGTAATCTCCTCAGCATGACGATCAATAGGGGAGGGTGTGCGACCCAAACAACCAGACAGGAGCAGTGGTGGTGGGTGCAATATTTGTGCTAAGGAAAAATGATTTAATCATCTAGATTAGGTCAGGAGACGGGGGTCTGGACAAGAAGGGTTAGGGATAGGCAGGGGGTTGGTGGACACAGAGACAACAGGAGGATGTGAGGGGTGAGACAATGCTGACTTTGGACGGCCCTCTTTTTGTGACAAAGGCTGATAGGTTGGTGTTTTGTTCATATTTACGAAACATTCAATGCCACAGCTAAGAGGAGACTATGTGAACGTCTAATAAAACAGTAAAAACACAAACATATACGGTCTCCATCAACGCTCAACGGAAGTATCTGAGCGAGTTTCCGAGTAAAAATGAGAAATAATTACATTTAGATAGTTCCCGAACAGCCTCCGTTCAAGGAAATGGTGCACTGGCCCGTCCATGCCTTTTAAAATGGGGTGGCCCAGGCAGAGCGCTTGTGCTTGGGTGGCACCTGTGGTTACGTCACCTCTCGCAAAATCTTTTTTTTTTTTTATTCGAGTGAATTTGGGAGCTCCACTGTGTTCAATGAAAAATCCGAGCCTCTCCTCAGCGTGTCAGCAGCCAGAGGCGGAGGAGGTGAGAGAAGGCTCAGATGCGCTGATGGAGATCTTTTCTTGACTGTTACCTCCGCGATGCTCTCTGTGGATGTAAAATATTTGTCAATAACAAACAAATAAATAAACAAATCACCTCCTGTAAAAAACAACCGTAATGGCTCAGCCCATCGCCGATGGTCGATTCATTCGTCCCATCGCCCAACCCTAACTTCACCCACACTACCTGTTTGAAAAATACACCTAAGGGAGGCGTCGCCTGGCAGACAGAGAGAGCACCCTCCCTCAACCCCCCAAGCACTCTTAAGCCCCCTTCAGACAGGCCATGAAAAACGGAAATGTTCCGGACTCTGTCCGTAAGACCTTTGTGTCTGAATACAAACATCCGGATAATGTGTTCCGGAATTTAACCGGACGAAGCCCCTAGTAACAGGTCCGGACTTGTTACGGACAGGGTGGCTGCTTCAGACTGGTGAGGTAGAGTTCCGGACAAGAGGGAGGAGGAGGAGGAGGGGACCGGGGGACGCTGTGCGCACCTAGATAGCTCGCTACTGTAGCATGCGGCGAACCACGGCAGCTCGCCTCCTACGGTACCGTCTAGACGCGCGACGGAGCGCTTCACACCGCTTCAGTGATTCCTTTAACCATTGAGCTTCATCATCCAGGTCTCTTATGCATCTTCATGTGCGCAGAATTATGCTTAAGCGCCTCGTGATTTTTATCTTGAGAGGCGCTATAGAAATGATGTTTTCTTCTTCTTAACATAAGTCCGATTCTACCCCCCCATGCAAATAGCATTTATATTTTTATATCACAACCAGGTTGGCGCGTCGCCACGGCAAAATAAAAGCCGCCACACCTTCAAAGGATAAAAAAAAAGTTTAAACTATGTATACATTTTTTGGATATACATTAAAACAAAGTAAATACGAGACATATATAGTCTATATTTGCACATGTATGCTAACAATAATGACAGTTTAAAAAGAATTTAAATATAACAATTCTTTAAAATGCATTTTACTTTGAAAACCCAGCACAACCGGTTTTTCCCCGTGTGCAAAGGAGCCAAACGCGCATCACGCACAGTGCAGTGGGCACCGAGTGGCCAGAGGGACACCAAGCAGTCAGGTTTATGAAACAGATTATATTAATTCTAGGGCTGTAGCGAAGCGTCGATGATGTCGACGGCTTGATTCTAAAAATTCGTTGACGTCAGATCCGGTAGTCGACGTACCGCGCCCACTTGTTGCATCCCCAGGAGTTTGTAAATAGAGGAGGAATCTGCCTGTTTTCCCTCTAGTTCGCCCTCTTCTCCGCCTTCACTAACATCTCTGCCAAATACTGAAGACCCGGAACAATGTCCGTCCGCTACTAGATTCCTTTCCTGTTTTGCCCGCCTTCGTCTCCCGGCAACGGACAACAACTTCTGGGGTCAGATGCGCACTTTCGTCTCTACCGCAGATGTAGAAAATCACCGGGAGCATTTCTCCCTTCATAAAGGAGCTTCTTTCAGACATTAGGAGAGCTGTTTTTGTGGTAGCAGTCTCTCCTCCATGCTGGTCTATTTGCTGCCGGGTGTTTTTGGTTTATTTAAATGTGGCAACTTGAATTTAACGTTGGTAAAGCTACTGTTAGCATTTTCGCTAACAGCTTCTTGCGTTTGGATAAGCTGTTACGTTTTGGTTTAGAGTTAATCTTTTTTGTGGCGTAGATCTCCCCTTTATTACATTTAGAGTGTTGTGGGTTTTCGGTTTAGTTTTAAATATCACCTTGAGTTTGGTTTAACCGCCCAGTTTAGAGTTCGGACCTTTGGAGATCCTTATTTTGGTCCAGAACCCAGTAATCTTTGCCCAGTGGGACATCCCTAGTTACTTGTACTTTTGTTTTTATTCCCCACAGGCAGAATTAGTTTTATTATTCCCAACCTGTGGATGGAAAGATTTATGTATTTAGTTGTAAATAAACCTGATCATCATTTTAACTTTTAAATCCCGTTATTGTCCCTTTCTTTTTGCACACGAGCCAAACTCCCCAGGAAGGGTCGTAACACCACTCGCCTCACACACATGTGACCAAAACAAAGCAGCATGGAGACACTCCATTGTCAACCACCTCTCAGGCAGCAGCCTGCACTCCCAAGTCCTACACGTCACCAGAACATAACCAACCGCAACACAATAAAAGCAGTGTCATACAAAATGGAAGGCCTGTAGTTAGGGCTACTCAATTAATCGAATTTTAATCCCATTTACGATCCGAGTTTTGAACGATTATAAAACTAAACAAGCCGATTATTTGCTCCTCCCACTTACGCTTCCTGAGTTGCAAATGAAGCGCTCCTCCCACAGTGTTGCCAACTTAGCGACTTTGACGCTATTTCCAACAGCTTTTCAGACCCCCTTCTTGACTTTTTAAATCTTAAAAGTACCCAACGAACACCTCAGAAACATCTCTGGTAACCCTTAGCTACTTTCTGGATTACTGTCGTCGACATTTCCTGCAGGTTAGCTAAACACTCCGCCTGCGCTCCCGACCGTTCTTCAGGACATTAGGAAAGGGAATGATGTACTGATGTGTCAGTCACTACAGAGACGGTTCTCAGAGCTGGTGTTCTGAGAAAACGTCCTACCCGTAGGATAATTTTTCGGTGTTTACATGACACAAACCCTAACCATAACTCTAACCCTAACCAAAAAAAAAAAAAAAAAAAAAAATCAAGTATCAACGTCAATAAAAAGTACT